ATCCTTTCCCCGCAACAGAATGACAAGATCTACATCAGAAAGCTCTGGTTTCTTTTTACCCACTCTCTACCCCAAACAGAAACTAAATCACTTGTTATAGGGCAGGATGAGGGGCACCCCGGGCCCCCAAATCCACTTGCTCTAAATAGGCCCTACCATCCATCACATAAAGACAAAACATACTGTAGTGCTTAAGGCCTTCAACAGAAAATAACTTTAATATAATTAGTGCACAAAAAAAGAAAAGAGAAGAAAAAGAGAAAGGATATAGTTTCCAAATTAAGCACCCAAAGTTATCTATCCTCTCATGGGTAAATGTCCAGCAACACAGGTTGGGCCACTGAGGCCCAAAAGCTTGCCACAAGTCTAAGGCACCTTCTGGTGGGGACCATAGAGATGGGCAGAAGGAGCCAGGCAAGTCTGGGCAGAGAAAAATCAAAATACAAACAAGATAAAGGCTGCCATTGTCAACTTCGCCCTGGGTCTCTTACCCAAATTTCTGTCTCTTTCAAGTATCTCCTTCCATGTCCCCCAAGTCCCTGGTACAAGTCTGTAAAGGGCTAGGACAGGACACAGTGCAGGTTTTCTGATCCCATGCAGACCGGGTAAAGGAGGAGTCAGAGTCCTTAGTAGTTTTGCAGGTTTTTTATTGGGGTTCACCAGGCATATGGCAGGCAGGTGTGCTGGCTGGGGGGGCTGGGAGGCTGGCAGCCTCTATCTTTAGTCTTTACTCTATCTGGGCTCTCTGGAGTTCGTTCTGCTGCTTCTCGGCTTCTCTTTCCGCTTCTGCTTCGGCTTCTGCTGCTGCTGCTGGGGTCCCCGTGACGCCGCCCTTAAAAAGCACAGTCTTAGCTCAGCTGAATCCCATCTACCTATGCCCACACCCTATTCCAGGTGCCCGCCATCAGGCATGCATTCAGGACAAGGATTCATCATCTATCCTGATGGCGGAAGGGCAGAAAAGCCTGACATTTTCTTTACCCTACAAAGTCCAAGGCCAAGAAGCAAATGCAGCTTCTTCACATTTCTCTCTGCTCCATGCACCTCCTCTGGGTCTTGATCTTCCTGCCTGCCTGCCTGCCTGCCTGCCTGCCTTCCTTTCTAGCTTCCCCTCCCTGCCCAGCTTCACCCTTCAATTGCCTGGGGCAGTAATGCCCCTTCCCCTGGGTATTACCCTGTAACACACCTAGCAGGTTTGGGATTTACTAAGGATTGGAGGTGACTGAATTACAAAATTCAAGCACTCCCTCTCAGTACTAGGAGTTGGAAAGGGAGTACCTCTTTAAATTTTGCACCTAGGTGCCTCACTAGTTTCATCTAGTCCCTGCAACAAAGATGATAATAAAAACACCTTAAATTATTAGAGTAATCTGCAGCCATCAGGTCCTATTTTCTCAGCCAGATGCTGGAAAACCTGCAGCTTCTTTGTGTAGCACCACACTCAGCCCAGGTGAATGCATATGATGTGGGAAGGACAGGGAAGTGCCTGCATAGAGTCTGAAATAATATGACTACTTTGCCACAGTTTGCTCCACAAGTTTCCACATGCCCTCCCAAGGGAATGAGGAGATGTAGAGAGAATGGGAGGGCTAGCAGCGGCCTTGAGGATGAGTAAGCATGAATACAAGACAGGAAGTAATGCCTAGTTGTAACGCATCTTGAGCAACATTGGATGTGGAGAGTTGTTTTTTTTTAAGATTTATTTAATTATTCATTGAAGAACTCGGGTGTAGGCCAGAGATATGGGTTGAGATGATTCACTGGATACAGAGTGCAACACGGGCAGATCTACTGAAATACACTACTGGGGGGAGCAGCTGATGAGATGGGAGAGGTCTGCTTTGCCATATGTGGGTTAGCTCCCTGACTGGGGATTGAACTCAGGCCACAGTGTTGATAGTGCTGAGACTTAATCCCTGGGCCCTCAGGAGTTCTTAATTTAACCATTCTCATAGGTATATAGTACTAACTCATTGTAGTTTTAATTTGCACTTCCCTAATGACTAATGATGCGGAGTACATGCTTTCCTTTTAAAGTGGGTTTTATCTGCTTTACAACTTCATGAAAAAACAACATGGCAAGCTGAGAATGCAGAAGTGAGCAAAATTCAAGAGAAATTAAAAAAAAAATCCAAGGTACAAACTCTGGGGTAACCAGGAACACCTGGGCTAAAACACCAGTCTTCAAGGGATTGAAAAATTCGCTCATCAGTACAGAATGCCTTTGCCAGGGCCTCCCCAGGTGGCGCAGCGGTTGAGCGCTGGGCTGCGAGGCTGCCAATCTCTGCAGCGCCGATTTGTTCCCTGGCCACAGGCGAGGGTCCCGCCAAAAGAAAAAAAGAAAAAAGAATGCCTTTGACAAAGGTATTCACCAAGGTTACGACTGAAGCACATGCTCCAATACAGGTAGAAACCAATTTCTAGCCCTGTTTTACAATATCTGGTTCTCTTTTATATTACATCTGATTTTTTTAAATACCAAAACCCACAAAATGCTTGTAATCGTCCATTCCTGATATCCCATTGTTACAGGGCCACCTCAAAGGGAAACAAAATGGCCTGGGTGTGAGTCCTCATGTACTCATTAAAACAAACAAACAAACAAACAAACAAAAAAAAACATAGAACAGGCCTCCCAGGTGGCGCAGTGGTTGAGCGCTGGGCTGCGAAGCTGCCCGCAGCCTCTGCAGTGCCGGCTCGATCCCCGGCCACCGGCGAGGGTCCCACCTGGCGCGCAGACCTCTCCTGTCTCGCCCTACCGCTTCCCTCAGCAGTGTATTCGTCGGTCTGCCTGTTCTGTTCCCCACTCTGGCTCTGGTGAATTCTCTCACCCTCCCCTGCTTTTGACTGTACCCAGTACTTGTATAAATAAATCTTTGTATAAATAAATCTTTAAAAACAAAACAAAACAAAACACAGAACAGGAGCTAAGGGCAGACACGCATAGAAAGGTTAATAAAAGGTTTGTTTACAAGGGAAATGAAAAGAGGGGGATATAGATAGAGCTATAGAGAGATTAATTGGTCAAGACCTGCTACCAGTAACCCCAGGGCCAGGCAAGTCTGGAAGAAAAAGAGCAAAATCAAAATACAAGCCAAGATAAAGGCTGTCATTGCCAGCGTTCCCTCAGGTCTCTCACCCCTATCTTTGAACAGGGATGTTTTCTGCAGAGAGCAGAGAAGCTGGAAGATGGTCTGAACCTTCTCAGCAAAGTTGGAGGCTGGTCATCTGAACGTGAAGGACACAGTGATGCCATAAGTCCTGAAGTTTACAGGAAATACATCTGAACAGAGAAAGCGTTCAAGCATAGAGTGTACAAAAATGAACAGTGTTCATCTTCCTAGTCTAGCCCAGCACTCAGAAAGTCTTTTAGGACTGCTTGGGTCTTTATATATATATATATATATAAATAAATGTCTTTTTATTTTTTCTTTCTTTTTTTATATGTGTGTATATATATGCATATATATATAGGTCTTTTTTTTCTTTCTTCTTTTTCATGTGTGTACATGTGTGTAAAGACATAGGGGCAGGACAGGACACAGTGCAGGTTTTTTGATCCAGCAGATGGGGTAAAGGAGTCAGAGTCCTCAGTGGCTTTTTGCAGGCTTTTATTGGGGTTTGCCAGGTACACAGCAGGCAGGGGTACTGGTGGGCCGGGAGGCTGGCAGGCCTCCCAGCCCCCAGCAAGTCTTCACTCTATCCGAGCTCTCCGGCATTCTCTGCTTCTCTCTTGGCTTCTGCTGCTGCTGGCATCCCCGTGGCGCTGCCCTTAAAAGCCCAGTCTTAGCCCAGGTGAATCCCATCTACCTATGCCCACACCCTACTCCAGGTGCCCGCCATCAGGCATGCATTCAGGACCACAAGGATCCATCTTCTATCCTGATGGCTGGAGGGCAGAAAAGCCTGACATTTTTTTTCCTTACCCTACAAAAGACCTGAGCAGTTCTAAAAGATTTTCTGAGCGCTGGGCTAGAATAGGAAGATGAGCACAATGTGGATAGATGGATCTCCAAGAATGACCAATGCCCCAAGTGGGACTGGGGCTGGTGAGGGGAGGTGATTCCTGATCTTGTAGGAATCTGGGCTTAGCTGAAAAGATGCTTGGGGCAGGGGCTGCTCTCACAGCTGAGGTTAGTAAAAGAAGCCAAAACCCTTGGGGGTCCTGGCATCTGGGGAGGTTTTTTTTTTAATTAATTTTTTTTTTTTAATATTTTACATCATTATTCTTTTTTTTTTTTTTTAAGGTTTATTTATTTAAGCAAGCACTGGGTACAGTCAGAAGCGTGGGAGGGTGAGAGAATTCACCAGAGCCAGAGCGGGGAACAGAACAGGCAGACTGATGAAATACACTGCTGAGGGGAGTAGCGGGCGAGACAGGAGAGGTCTGAGCGCTATGTGGGACCCTCGCCAGTGGTGGGGATCGAACCCGCGCTGCAGAGGCTGCAGGCAGCTTTGCATCCCAGCGCTCAACCGCTGCACCACCAGGGGAGGCCCTACAACATTGTTCATTTTCAAACAATATTTGCTTCCCCCCACCCCCTCAGGTGGAGTCCCCAGAAAGTTTCCTTCCCCAAGGCACCCGTGCACCATCACCTCAGTCCCCTGTGCTCCTCCCTCCCTCCCTCTGATCCCTCTCCCTCCTCCTCCCCTGCAGGATGTCTCTGATTCATAATTGTCTGTTTTTGCTTTGTTGCGGGGAGGTTTTGGAAAGGCCTATCTGAATGCTCTTAGAGACAGAGGAGAGGGTCCATTATCACGAGGCTGCAATCAGATCTCAACCCAAAAGACCTGAAGCCCTGAAAGGAGCTTCGTGACCCCGGGGGGTGCAGCTTCCAGGCGGGCCACTCGCAGTGTGGCGCGCTCCCGCGGCTGCAAGAATAATAATGAAGCTGGTTTTTAGCTTGACCATTGCACGACTTCTGCCTTTTTTTTTTTTTTTTTTTTTTTGTAAGTTGCTTAGCATGGAGAGGCCCCGCCCTTCCGCGCCCGGGCTCCGCCAGCCCTCGGGCCGCCCCTCGCGCGCTCCTGGCGGGTTCTCCTCCCCGGACTGCGCAGGAGGGCCTGCTGGTGGTGGTCCATGTGGTCCATGGCGCTGCCCGCCTGGCTGCAGCCCAGGTAGGGCGCTCGGCCGAGGGGGGAGGGGTAGGGGCGCGGGAGAAGGGACCTCTGGGGGCGGGGGCTCCCCCAGCGCAACCTCTGGACTCGCACCAGCCAGCGCGGTGCAGCCCTGCACTCCCTGGAGCTCTTGCCAAGTATTTAGCTCATGCAGTTCTCTCGACCATTCTAGCAAGAAGCCTCCGGTATTTCCCCCATTTTACAGACGAGGAAATGGGCAGGACTGGCTGCTGGGCCAGCCCTTCCTTCTGTGTGCCCTCTGCTCATCCTTTCCTCCTGCCTCCTCCCTCCCCTACAACCCCCACCCACACCCCCTGGCCCTTCTCCAGACTGTCCAGACCCTGTGTTGCAGATCTACCTGCTACAGAATCTCCTACTGTACAGGTATCTTCCAGGGCCCAGGATCCGGGTACTGATGTAGTGGTACAGTGGTAGGGTCTTAGGATGTGTATTTCAGCCAACAAGCAAATGGCTCTGATGCTGGCTAAGGGAAGAAATTCCTCTTTTCTCCCCCTTTACTAGTTCCCATCATCCCTAGGGTGCCCTCTCATCAAGCCACACTGGATTTGCTTGCTGACTTCTTTGCCTGATGTCTCAGGTTTGACATTCATTAGGAGAAAATCTTGTCTACACTGTCAGGGCCACACCCACTACCCTTCTGAACCCTCAGGGGACACTTCAAACAAAATTTTCTCTCTCACAAACCCCATATCTGCCGATCTTCTCTTTGTCATCGTCCCAGAAATCCATTTTTTTAAACCTAGCTTGACTTCCCTTTCCTGGCTCCAGCCACTAAACTGCTACGTGTGTCAGAAGAGGATCTACTCTTGCAAAACGGAGTAGGAGGCCGAGGTGCTTGCAGGCCTGGCTCACACAATGAGTTCAAAAGTCCATTTACTGAATTGCTCACAACTTGGGGCTGCCACCATCACTGCTCCCCTCTTTAACTATACACTCCTTTCTCTCACGTTCTGCACCTACCAAGCTGAGCTACTGGGGACACATGTTGAGCATATCACTCCATCTCCAGCCATATTTTTTTTTTTTTTTCAAAAATATTCAAAGCATTTTTCCAGTGATGACTCCTATCCCTCAGTGAGGAGCAAGGTTCGAACTTTAGCAAAGATGAAAGTGGATTTTGAAATAGAACCACATTTGGTTTCAAGCAAAGCAAGAGTTTCATTTTAGCATATAACATGTGTTCTGTGTCCTTTCAAAATCTGATGTGCATTTGGGGGTAACCAAATAAAAGAGTCTGATGTGGAATCATTTTCTCTTGCTTGTTCAGGTTGGCTCATAAGTTAAAGGGCATGTGTGTAATGTGGAAAGGGTGATTTATTAAGGAAGTGTCTAATAGTATTTCCCTGTATTTGTAGGTATAGGAAGAACACTTACCTTTTCATTTACTACCTAATCCAGTTCTGTGGCCACTCATGGATATTTACGAATATGACAGTCCGATTCTTTTCATTTGGAAAAGGTAAAACTTCAAAACAAGTTTTGATTATTCATGGTTAATCCTGTTTTCATCTAGTCCTGCTTACATTAATTTTAATTTTTAGACTTATGTGAACTTCACCTAATATCCTGCACACCTCTAAAAATAACCATACTTTTCAGTAACCATATTTCTTGCTTATTGTGAAAACCAAGCCTTTTCGGAGATGGGGAGAGAGAAAATGAAGGGGTTTGACTTCCTCCTGAGCAGGCAATTTGCCCTGAAAAGATGTGCCATCAAAGTGGTGCCTTTTAACTTCCTTTCTGGTTCCGACCAAACAGCTAGACTATTTTGTGCAGAGATATCAGGAATTAACCAAACGCTTCCCGTGTTTTTTTCTTACCCAATTTTAAGGGAATTGCAAGTTATTCATAAATCAAAGACAAACTTTCTATCCCCCAGCCCTTGTTGGTCCCTTCAGGGGTCATGTGTCCCTGAGAAAATGGCACGCTTTGTAGATGACTCAGTACACGTGTGTGAGTTGACATTAAGGGTTTAGTCATAAGCTTCCTCTAGTTTCCTGAAAAGTAAAGATTTCAAACAGCATTTCAATTTTCAAAAAAAAAAAAAAAAAAAAAAAACAATGAATCACTAAATTACTGTCAAAATAATATGCTTTTCATGTTCCATCCCCACATGGCTAAGTGTCATTACAGTTTACAACTGTTGGGTGACTTGACAATTTGAGCAACTGCTGGTTTCAGCTAAAAACAAACTGCTGGTTTCCCAGATATATTATCTGGGAAAAGCCATGCTGTGCTCATCAATTCTGACTAATGTATCATAGAAGATTAATCTATATACTATTTTATGTTGCTTTTTCCTACTGCAAACTACAGATAAATTCCTGCCTTATTAAGAGCCTCCAGAGATACAACCTAAGGCTTGAATTTCAGCTCTAATTATTGGAGGTCTCCAAACAGAGGAAACCACAGGCATTGGGAAAACTTCCCTTACATTTTTAGGAAAAAAAATCACTCAGGTCTTGGAAGTTAGCTGCAGCTTTGTGGGCACATTATAGATCATTCACAACACAAGTCACAAGCATGAACTTTCTTAAGCCTTTCCAGTGGGAAAAATGGCCTTAGTCAGCAGTGTATTTATTTCTTAATTATTATCCTGCTGTTATAATTATAGCAGCTGCTTATTATTAAAGAAATACAACCCCTTCCTATGGAAGGCAGCTGAAAACAACTAAGTGGGGATTCAGCACAACTTTGGAGTCAATGTATAATTTAAGTCAGTAGAGCAACAACAATCTAATTACCTGAACTACTAACACATGCCACCTTCCTTTCCAGCGCTGTGTAACTGACAGTGTTCTGGCACAGCCAGTGCAAGGCTAAGTAGAGAAGGGTGTAGACCATGCCTCAGGAATCATCTGTGAAATGGGGTGATAACAGTGTCTGCCTCACAGAGCTGCTGAGAAAAGAAACCCTTAGTGCTTGATAAGTTATGTGAATGATCACTACACAATAAAGAGACTGCGAAGTCTTCACTAGAAGCTTTTTAGCATTGAAAAATTTCATTTTAAAATTGAAAGATTTTGGGCCTCCCCGGTGGCGCAGCGGTTAAGCGCTGGGTTGCGAAGCTGCCTGCAGCCTCTGCAGGGCCGGTTCCATCCCCAGCTGCTCCCCGGCCACCCGAGGAGGGTCCCACATGGCGCGCAGACCTCTCCTGCTGCCCGCTGCTCCCCTCAGCAGTGTGATTCGGTCCTTCTGCCTGCTTTGCTCCCTGCTCTGGTGAATTCTCTCACCCTCCCACACTCTGACTGTACCCATTGCTTGTATAAATAAATAAATAAATCTTAAAAAAATAAAATAAAAAATTGAGAGTTTTTTTCTGATTCAGAGGGACATTTGTTTCACCCCTATTTCATCTCTATCCAAATGTAGAATTTTACTTGGGTTCTCTGCAATGCATACTCCAAAATTCCCCATTCAGAATGCCAAGCTTTAGTGTCTAAAACAAAGCAACAAAGCTGCCCGCAGCCCCAGCTTACCAGATATCAGCTTCACACCTAGTGCATGTATGCAACTACCAATCTAGTATGTATAGCACACAAATGCTGGACACATACGTTATTTAATATCATGCTATCATTAATGTGGTTTCCATAACACTCTGAATTCATATTTTTCTATATCTCTGTCATTTTCTTGTAATTTGAAAAGTTGGGAGCAGGGCGGCTTTTTAAATATGCTTACTCCCTCCCTATTTACATTTGATCTTTCTAGAGTTTAACTAGCTACTTTAAGGAGGAATTGCTTTATAAGCCAATATATGGGGAATACTGTAATTTGGGCTATGGAGACTTCTTCAAGTTGTTACTTTTTGGAAGAATAAATGTACTGTAATGTGAACTACTTGATTGCATTGTATTCTTAATAGTTTAGTAGCCTACTTAGAAAATTTCTCACATGCACAATGAAAAAAGAAGTAAATAATCCCAACTTTATTACAAAGCACTATGTAGATTTGGGTTGCAGTCAAGCTTTTACTTACTCTATCTGTATTTTTAATTCACTGGACACAGATTCAATGGCTGACACTTTTTATGCTATTGGGCTGGTGATGCGAGTTTGCCAATCCATTTCCCTCTTGGAATTGCTGCACATATTTGTGGGCATTGAATCAAACCTACTACTTCCGAGGCTTTTGCAGGTAGGTTTTAATCCAACTGATAATTATTATTACTTTAGAATCTGTCTCATACCTATGTTTGTTTCCATTTGCAGCCTCTCTTGACTTTATAGCAGACAAGAAGCCAATACCTGCTACCTTGCAACCCTAGTCACTATTAATGAGAAAGTTGTAAAAAAATTACCTCTCTAAAACACTGAGTTGATCCCTGGCACTTCTACTTACCACTGTGGGATCATATCACCTACAATTACTGGGCTCTTGAGGACAAGGACACAATACAAAATATTTTTCAGAGTTAATGATAAGAAAAACAACAACAAAACAAGTTCCTTTTATCCCTATCCTGACAATGAAAGCATCTCTAGTTATTTCTTGTTTATTTTATCACTTTTACTAACTACTGATGGAAAGATCATTCACCTTTCTCTAAGGTAGCATCTCATTATAGACTTGGGGATCACATCGACCCGGACTGAAATTCCAGTTTACTTGTTACTAGTTGTATGTATCTAAGCAAATAATTATTTTGAATCTTATTTTCTCATGTGATGTGAAAATAAAAATATGTCTCATGGAGTTACTGAGAAAAATGTATGGCCTAAGTTCCTAACTCTTAGTTAAGGATGTGATAGCTGATAGCTATTGCTATTAGTTTAGCTATTATTTCTTCCCTCTACCATGTCTGTAGCTTTAGATGACCAAGCTTCTTTAAAGGCAGGTTGAAGGAAGGTGGAAAATTCACTGTTGGAGACTCACTATAGGAAATAATTGCTGGATTAGAGTAAGAAAAAGAAAAAAAGTGGTATTTTCCATAAGAACAAAGAGATGAGTTAGGTGATTATGTGAACATGTGTTAAAAGTCTATAGAAAAGGGCATTTATATGAGTATTATTTTTGCTATTTGTAAAATACACCTGAAAATGGATAAATAACTGAATTTGATAATGGTGCATTATAAAATCATTAAAATATCAGAATCTAGTGATATTGTCAGCACCTGGCAAAGTGCTTAGAACATAAGTTACACCTTAAATTTTTGTTGACTGCAGGAATGGCATAGATTGTTGTATTAAAATTTGCTTAAAATATCATGAAAGTTTAAAAGGTGAAAAGAGGAAGATATTCCTAAGAAGTTTGTTAAGAATTCAGCATTATAAGTTTATGGGTGATCTTAAATTTTACTTATTCAATAAAAGTAAAAAAATGTATTTATTAGGACGAAGACAATTTAAGTGTTGAAATCTCAAATGTAAAATAAAGATCAGGGGCCACCCTGCTGGCATGGGGGTTAAAGTCTCAGAACTATCAAGCTATCACAAGCCACTGCAGCATGAGTTTGATCCCCTGTCAGGGCGCTAACCCATATGAGGCAGCAGACCTCTCCTGTCTGGCCCGCTGCTCCCCTCAGCAGTGTATTTGAATAGATCTGCCTGTTCTGCTCCCCAGTCTATCTCTGGTGAATCCTCTCACCCCGCCCCCACACCTTCTGACCTACACCCCAGTTCTTTTATGCATAAATAAATCTTTAAAAAGTAAAGTAAAATAAAAAATCAGAGCAATGTTTAGAGTATGAGCTATTTACAACAGAGTAGTAGTCATTTAGTGAATCAACACCTAGATGGAATTCCCTTAAATGTATTTCCTTAGAAATTAAGAAGGGGTACATATCTTCCCAGAAAAAGTCTATTATTTACGAACAAGATTTATTGGTGTTTATTCCTTGTTAAGAACCAAAATGCATAGAGCACCAAGGTCCCATAATGCTAATTTTAGAGAACAGAAATAACAACTGAGATTATATAAAAGTTGTATTCTATCATGGAATTACTTAACTTGAAGAACAGTAAATTCATCTAAAATCTAAGGCATTTTTTTCTTTTGGTATACTCTTTTGGACTTTTTACTTTTTTAGACTATATTGGCTAACGTTAACTTGATGTTAAGAGAATGATTTCAAAATTCTGAGTAGTGTTATTTTAATTATTGCCAATATCAGGAATGCAAGTGTGTACTAGGATGGGTACATTTGTAAGGGAGAAAATAGAGCATCCTGAATATGCTGAATATATGTACATTTTTAATGCTTTCCAAAATTATGTAGGCTTGCCTAACAATAGAAATTATTGTACAACTTAGATACCTGATTCTTTGGAGTTTTAGAAATTTCAGAAGATATAAGGATGATTTTAATCACTATTAATTGAAACTCTGGTGGTTTATAGAAATATGATCACTGTAATCAAACTCTGTCCTGGTTTGATAATTTAAAAATAAGGCAAATGGGGGCCTCCCTGGTGGCACAAGGGGTTAAGTCTCAGCACTATGAAGCTATGGGCAGTCACTGCAAAATGAATTTGATCCTCAATCAGGGAGCTACCCACATAGCGCAGCAGACCTCTCCTATCTCGCCCACTACTCCCTTCAGCAGTGTATTTCAGTCAGTCTGCCTGTTCTGTTCCCCACTCTGTCTCTGGTGAATCTTTTCACCACTAACCACCCCCTGCCCCCGCACCTCTGGCCTACACCCCAGCTCTTGTATGCATAAATAAATGAATCTTAAAAAAATAAAATAAAGGCAATGTACATAGAAACTTTTTATTCAAAGGTGACCTTTAAACTCTATTGTTACTGAGGCTCAAAGTCTTTAAGTCTTTCATTGTTAGGAGGTTCAACAAATCTGGGATCACCACAGGACAAAGGACAATATCGTCATTCTGGGATAATTACACATTTTTGTTGTGATTGTTTGGATTCTTTTTGTCGATTTGAGAGTTTACCTGTCCTCTGTTTTATTAATTTATATTTTTCTATGGTTTTCAGAATGTACATGGTGTTGGAGAAAGCATAAAAAAAAAGCAAGTTCAAAGTTTCATTTTTCTCTTCCCTTATTAGCTTTTTATAGCCAATAGAGAGAATTCCCTTATTATGAGATGACTCTGAGGTCCTTGCTTTAAAATAACCAAATAAAACTGTGAGGTTGTGTAATCATTCTTGGTTTTCCTGTTTCCCCATTTTAAGTGAAGAAACTTGTTGAAGATGTGACTAAGCTACTGCCACCATCCTCATAGCTGATTGCAGATGCTCTCTTGAAAAATATATGGTGTCCAGCTGATTTCAAGTGGGTTGAAATCCACATCAACTTATTTGTGATGTTACTGGACATTACCTTTAGGATGGTGCTAAGTCACAACTGAATTTTCTTTTTGGGAACTGGTCTTCCAAAATATCAAGATAAGTAATTCCAATAAGCAGTAGGAAGTATTAGCTAATTCAGCAAATAGAATCACCTGTAGAGAGGGGATATTTTCATTTCTTTGTTCTGTTCTGTGCATTTTAAAATGTTTTGTACATACAGCTTTATGACAGTTAGGGAAAGCCATTATGAATTTCTAACGTTACACACAATAAAGGAAAAAGGAAGAAAACCATTGACAATAAGACAAACTTCAGCACAGATATATATATATATATATATATATATATATATATATATATATATATATACCCTTCAGGGGAAAGGCGCAAAACAAAAGTAAATCTTTAAAAAAAAGTAGTGGTTTATAGGCATCCATTTTTAAAAATAGTGACATGCCAATTAAAACAATTACATGCCAATTACTATACATAAGAATATATAGTAAACTTTTGATATGTTTTTTTATATTTTTTTAAAAGATTTTTAATTTTTCAAATTTTTTTTTATTTTATTTATACAAGCACTGGGGGGGCTACGGTCAGAAGTGCGGAAGGGTGAGAGAACTTACCAGAGCCAGAGCGGAGAGCAGAACAGGCAGACTGATGAAGTACACTGCTGAGGGGAGCAGCAGGTGTGGCAGGAGAGGTCTGCGCGCCATGTGGGACCCTCGCCCGGTGGCCGGGGATCAAACTGGTGCTGTAGAGGCTGCAGGCAGCTTTGCAACCCAGCACTCAACCGCTGCACCACCAGGGAGGCCCAAACTTTTGATTTTTTTTTTTAAAGATTTTATGTATGTATGTATGTATGTATGTATGTATGTATGTATTTATACAAGCACTGGGTACAGTCAGAAGTGCGGGAGGGTGAGAGAATTCACCAGAGACAGAGCCGGGACCAGAGCAGGCAGAAGGACCGAAGTACACTGCTGAGGGGAGCAGCAGGCGGCATGAGAGTTCTGCCCGCCATGTGGGACCCTCCTCCCATGGCCGGGGAGCAGCCGGGGATCGAAATGGCGCTGCAGAGGCTGCGGGCAGCTTCGCAACCCAGTGCTCAACCGCTGCGCCACTGGGGAGGCCCTTAAAGAGATATTTATGCATATAAGAAATGGGGTACAGGCCAGAGGTGTGGGGGTGAGAGGATTCACCAGAGACTGAGTGGGGAAACAGAACAGGTGGTTCTACTGAAATACACTGTTGAGGGGAGCAGTGGGCCAGACAGGAGAGGTCTGCTGCGCCATGTGGGTAACCCCCAGGCTAGGGATCAAACTCATGCTGCAGTGGCTGCGGATAACTTCATAGTGCTGAGACTTAACCCCTTGTGCCACCAGAGAGGCCCAAGAATATATAGTAAACTTTGGGTATTTTTAATTTATAAAGTAGTAATGTAAAAATGGTTCAAAAGAAGCATGTAACTGTTGGAAGAAATGACAACTGGAAACTAGGCATCTCTCCTTGCCAACCCTCCCTCCCAAATTAGCATCCATATTTTATTAGTTTGGGAAATAAAAGTTGGATTGGGAAATCAGTTTATTTCAGTAGGCTTAATCAAAACAACTTGACTTTTAAGGAGTGGAAATACTACCAACCCTTAAATGTTAATTTTGAGGGACTTTGTTCTAACTTTGCTTAGGAGAAAGCCCAAGAAAGAGGTTTTGGTTGGTGATAGAGCTTAAACATTTAGAATGTCTTAACTGTGAGAGGGGAAAATATCCACAAAATTTTTAATCTTTTCCATGAAATAAGAGAGATGTCTCTTTACTCCTTTAGCATTTGAGAAATGCTTTAAATGAAAAGCCTTCCTATATAACTGAATTAAAATGGCTAAATTCTGCATTCTTTCCTTTACATCACAATAAGTACTGCTGCACATGTATTAATTTTACATACTTTTAAAACCTGTAAATCAAAACAGTAGGGAGTATCATCCCAAGTTATTGTGCCCATTGTGAACCTAAATTGGGAGAACTATTTTTATATTTACCAATATCACCTTATTCTTATTTCTGACAAGGATAAGAAGAGATTTGCTTGCCAAAAATCACTCCAAAGGTTTCATATTCACAGACTCTTATGAGAACTGATATGAAGGAAATCCCAAAGGAGAGTGTCTTAAAATAACCCTTTTAGGAAAACAGCCAAGTTCCACCCTAATTTCTTTTTAGCTGTGAAGCAGGTGCTTCTTTGCATTGCTAGAGTAATAATTTTCTGATTTTCCATAAAATCATGTAGATTTTCTCTCAGTTTGATTTAGAAACTGGTGAGTATTAGAGTTGAAACTATACCAAAGAGAATGTTAAGCTATAAGATTCTCTGAACTTTGAAGACTTTTGGGAATCAATATATGCATAATTCACTCTGTGGATAAGATTTTTGGACTTTTTTTTGCATTTGAGTTCTTCAGTGTGATAACTATAAAGCTATATTCATAGTCTGATTTTAAGATACTGAGATTAACTTTTCATGGGCATAGGCCATAAAATATCAAAGGTGAATAAAACAGTATTTCAGAACAAGGGGCTCAGAATCACCTTGTCTAGGTTTTTATTTCAGACCTTAGAAGTCATTTTCACTCCACTAAGTACAGTGTCCTTTGTAAAGATGATGACAATAGAGCTTACTTCATAGGGTTATGGAAATTAAATGAGATTTAATTTATATTATTCAGAATTTGGCACAAAGTAACCCAAAATATCAGCTTTTATCAATTTAAGAATATCTCTACCTAAATTCTCCCATTATGTTACTATTGAATGCTTACAATGGAGTTAAGTAGCCATCAGATAATTTGGATATTAGATTGACATCATAGGAGGGGGGTCTTCATATATTTACATATATGCATAAGCTGTGGTTTTTTTGGTGGCAGGCATATTGATTGTTGATTTTTATATAACTGGGATTCCATCACTAACATGCTACAGAAACTCAAGGTTTTCAACAGGGCACGTTTCATTGTGTAGCTCCAGTCTCTTTTGGAAGATTCTCCCCTCTGTACTCAGCAACTAAGGGGCAGCCAGGTGTCATGTATAACTTACAACTCTGGAAACCATGAGACTTGGGATATATGTGTCCAGTCTGTTTCTAGTTTGGGCAAGTCCCTGAATACTTTTTTTCTGGTGCCCAAATTCCTTATATATAAAAAGGTTGGGCTAATATCTAGAAAAGACTCTAGCTATCCATCTTATCAAGAGCTATCTGTGTTTTTTCTTTCAATTGTAAGTAAGAGATTAGAATAGTAGTCAAGAGATTAGAAATAGTAAGTAATGAGATTAGAAATAGTAAATTAAGAGATTAGAAATAGTAAATCAAGAGATTAGAAAACTGTGTGCACATATTCATGTGTAAGTATTTCCTAAGACTTTATCAAAAATTAGAAGATTTTCATAATTAGCAGGCACTGATCAAATGTAAGATTAGGCAGTGTCTACGTATTTGTTTGCTGTTAAGATCTTGTATCTGATCGCTGCTAGGTGTCATGACAGCAAGCTTGGATTATTCAGTAATTATAATTGCAGTTAAGTATAATTAATTACATAAACATAATTAAATCAAGAAAATAGGGCAGTATAAAGAAAGACTGTCAAAAGAAAAACAGTTCAGTAGCTAGCTTCTATAGATTGAGAAAGGTTTGAATCATATCTAATTCCCTTAGCCAAGCAAAGACCAATTGACTCACTAGTCACAGGCATGGAAATAGTTTGCCCATGTGGATTTCTGATCATGTGCCCCACGATTGGCAAGTCTTGGATTTCTGTGCATTAGGTGATTTTCTGGGACTAACGTCCTATGATTTTAAGTCATAGATTATCCCAGTCTTTTTTCTTTGATCCACTTTAAAAATAAAGACAGCTATTGAGAAATACAAAGCTGTCCACCCCTTTCCTTTATCTCTAATGTGTTCCTCAATATTTTCCTTTGACTACTGAGAACAAAGTAATCTACTAACAGTGCACAAAATGCAGAATGTTCAGAAGATACTAATACAACATAAGAAGGCACATTATATTTAGATTGGGAAAGAGGAATGCATTTTTTGAGGTTGGTAATTGGAGTTTTTAAACCATCAGTGTGTGAATTCTCAATGATCTGTAAATGCTTACTGACTTGGAAAAAAATGAATATGCTGAATTTTTTCATTTTCTATGAGCTTATAAGAGGTAGAGTTACGTTACTCTCCCCCACCCAGCCAAAAAAAAAAAAAAAAAAAAGCTGCTAAGGCTTCTCCCATTAGATGAAGTTGAAAAATTTCTGCCTATTGTTCAAACCCCTTTACAACTCAGTCCCAAACACATTTCCAGTTCTATCTCCTAGTATTCCCTTCTGAGCATTGAAGAACTATGGCCCTCATGATTCTTAGAACGTGCCAAAGCAACCTACATTTTCACATCTCTGCTCCTTTGCTGGGATTGCTTCCTAGGTCTGGGATGTCATTTTCCCTTTCTCTTCGGCCTGACAAATTCCTATCCTGGCCTGACAAATTCCTATTTTTTTTTAAATGTATTTTTTAATTTTTTAAATTTTTATATTCCCCATACAAGAAAAAATCAAAATCAACAAACAACTATAAACCAGAGACACACTATGGGAGTGGGGCCGGCAGGGAAAAAAGGGATTGGGGTCAAAATGAGGAGGGGTGCAAATTCCTATTCTCAAGACCCTACTGAAATAGTGCCTGTCACCATAGTGCCTCCTTTCCCCAGGCAGGTATCTCCCTCCCCACTGCTCCCAGCCCCAGCAATGACAGCATTCCTCTCATTGTGTTATAGTTGTTGCTCCCCATTCCCCCAGCACTGCTCCCCTCTGGAGCAAGGACCGTGTTTTCATTAGATATATAATCTTAGCATCTAATACACAGTGAGCACTCAACAAAAGCTTGCCCAAGTGAATAAAAACATGTGTGCCTGTATCACAAGAGGGAAAATATCCTGATTCAGATAAAATATTATCTTTTCATTCATCATTTACCATTTGGAGAATACAGAAAAACAAAGGAGGAAATGAAATTCACCCATAACCCTATTCCCCGAGAGATAATGTTAATAGTTTAGTATGCATATTTTCATTTAAAGCATGTCTTTAGGAGGAACTCTGGTTTTTTAAAATTAGAAAATTACCTACATGCTTAACAGATGATCCTAATTCTTGACTTTGCTGTTTCTTTGTTAGCTCACAGAGAGAATAATCATCCTCTTTGTAGTGATCACCAGTCAAGAGGAAGTTCAAGAGAAATATGTGGTGTGCGTTTTATTCATCTTTTGGAATCTATTGGATATGGTTAGGTAAGGAGGCAAATGATTTCTTAAAACAAAACTAAATTGCTTTCTATAGTGAGGCCAGTAATAGCTGCTTACATTTGGTTACTCTGAATGAGAGAGAAAAACATAACTCCTTTGCAAATTATTTTATCTTGATATGGAAATGTATTTTTAGTACTTTCCATAATGGGCATATCAAAGATAATGAAAACCTACCGTGGTATTACAAGAGCAAATCAGTGCATTTGGGTTTCCAGCAGAAGACTTGGCATGACACCAATTTGGAATAAACCTCACAGCTGTTTGCTAATGAAAGGCATTCCTTGCAATTGCTCCAGTACATGTTACTTTAATAAGCAAAGCAAGACTTTTATTATATCACAGTCTGAATTTACAAAGTTGGTTTCTGTAAATTCAAGAATATTTTAAGTATGGAGCCTCATCTCTCTGCAGAAAAATACACCCCCGCATATATTTTTTGTGCACAATTCCAGTGAGTTCAAATGACTGTGGACTCCCCAGAATCTTTGGGGCTCAGGTTAAGAATCCCTGCTTTAGAATGTCTTCAGTTTCCTTCCCCTTCTAACACTTTGCCACGTTGTGATGCGATGAACTTAGCCTTGTCTCTGCCAGCAGTAGTGTAAGAGTCAGTTTTGCTCAGTGGCTCACTTTGGGGAGTTGTCACAACTGCTGTTTGAACTTTCACAAATGAGAACTGGTCCTCCCACTTGACAGATCTGGATGTGATGACTGGGTAACAAAAGAGCCCTGGCATTTTAGCTGAGATTGTGCAAATTCTGTATGTACTATATTGCCAATAACTTATTTGATTTAAAATATTTCTAAATAATGGCTTGAGCCCTACAGTGAATTGGAATGAAATATCTTGTTGGATTCAAGTGACTACAGTTCTCTGTATATATAACTTAGTAAGCTACTTCTCCTTTTTAAACTAATACTTTTGTAGACTTGGGGCAAATTTTATGGACTTTTGTAGCCTGTGGCTTCTGGTTCATGAGACATTGGCACCTCATTTGGACCTGTGACTTTCTGATGTATTGTTCCCCAGTATACCTGGCTCTTTCTGTATTGATTTCAGTCTCAAATGAACCCATTTGAGAACAAAACAACTTTTGCATTGAGAGTGATATCATGGAAAGACTTTTGGATACACAAGTAAGATCTTGGGATATACCTGTCTTCACTACTCACTTGCTAAATGATCTTGGGCAAATCACTTAATTCTTTAAAAAAATAATAGTGTTGAGATGTAATTTGTATACCTTGAAAGTCACCCTTTTAAATATAAAGTGCTTTTTTTTTAATATCATTTTTCCGGTACTATTTTTTTTTTAAGATTTATTTATTTATACAAGCACTGGGTACAGTCAGAAGCACAGGAGGGTGAGAGAATTCACCAGAGCCAGAGCAGGGAGCAGAACAGGCAGAAGAACCGAAGTACACTGCTGAGGGGAGCAGCAGGCGGCAGGAGAGGTCTGCACGCCATGTGGGACCCTCCTCCGGTGGCCGGGGAGCAGCCGGGGATGGAACCAGTGCTGCAGAGGCTGCGGGCAGCTTTGCAACCCAGTGCTCAACCGCTGCGCCACTGGGGAGGCCCTATAAAGTGCTTTTTTGTGTGTATTCAAAGACATGTACAAACATCAATCTATCTAATTAAAGAGCACTTTCATTATCCCCCAAAGAAACCCCAAGTACATTAGCAGTCACTCCCCCTTCATCCCAGCTCCTGATAAGTACATACTGTCTCTATGTCTATCCTGGACATTTGTGACTGGCTTCTTACATTTAGCATGTTTTCAGGTCCTTCATGTTGTAACATGTAGCAGTATTTCTTTCCCTTTTTATGACTGAATACTATTCCATTGTGTTAACATACTGCTTTTTTTTCCCCCCAATCAGAGAGGAATTAGGGTCCTGGAATGAAAGCGTTCCCTTCCTTTTTTCATGTTTTCAAGGTTTGGGGTTTTGTTTTGCTGAATGTGTGCACTGCCTAGTCTAGTAGTTCTCAAGATACGGTCTCTGGACCAGTGGCGCCAGCATCTCTGGGATCTTGCTTGTAAAAGAAGGTCTCAGGCATTTTTTCAGAATCACTGATCAGACACTGAGGGAATAGTAGTCTGTGCTTTAGCAGGCCCTCTGGATGTTTTTGATAAATACTTAATCTTGAAAACCACTGGCTATTCAGAGAAATTAAAAGATGGGCACTACTTCATCTATTATGTCAGGAAGGGCAGGTTTAAAACTACCTGCGGTATCCAAAGCAGGCTACATGGCGTTCTTTAATTGGTCACATAAGATGGCACCACTGCAAAAGCAGAACAATGCCAGATAAGGATACAGAAGTAATTTTTTTCTTTAAAATTCATTCCCATCAACATTTACAAGTATGCCTGTCTTAGAAAACCTAAGTGCTTGCTGCGTAAAGTGAGCTTGATTTCTGAAACTGAAGTAAATAATCAAAGAAACGTATAACCATAATTTGTGGGAGGTAAGTGTTATTTTTCTGTTTACCTCCACATTTATCCATGATCCATCCCATGAGACAAGCCAAACTTATAAGGTCTCCTCTTCCTATTGTTAAAAACCTGTTCTACTTAAATTATAGAAAATATTGAGAGTAACGAAGTCACACACTTCCCAGTTTTATCTGTGTATTTAATTATATAGTGAGGTGTTTTCTTCCTTTGGTATTTCTAAGATGTCAGCAGTAAATGTTAATGAGCTCCTTGTCTTTTTCAGGTATACTTACAGTATGTTATCAGTCATAGGAATATCTTACACTGTCTTGACCTGGCTCAGTCAAACATTGTGGATGCCGATTTATCCTTTGTGTGTTCTTGCTGAAGGTAAGAAGAGAGTATCTTGATGTCTTGCTTACTGTCAAAGGCAATGTAGTTATAGTGGTTCACCAAATTTTTGATGATTAAGTTACTATTTTTGCTATTGCTTAGCTAACTCCATGGATCTTCCATGGCATATTTCCCTTGATGTAAAGAAACAAATCATTAAATAACAAAGTTAGAGGGGGAAGCAGCACTGCACAGTAAGTTGTCAAAATATTCGCTAAGGAATGAGGACATCTGAGTCCAAGCTCTTAAGTCCATTAACCCCCAGTATGAGTTTTGCGTAAATCATTTAAACACTCAAAGTCTGTTTATTTATCCAAAGGAGATTTAACATTTAGTGATTGAGTGATTATTTTTAATGCATAGAAATTCAGTTCTCCCTGGCTGGACTATCCTTTCACTTACCTTCTACCATGGGTCCCACTCTCTACCAGAGACCTCTACCTTTAGAGCAATCATTTTCTCAAGGAAGCACTCCTTGACTTTCAACCACGTCAGTTCCCCCAATACAGCATCATAGATCTTTTATAAGATCTATCTCAGCTGTCATTAGACATTTATATGATTTTTTTTTTGTTGTTGTTTTATGTCTTTTTACCTCACTGGCCACTAAGCTCCATGAGGAAATAGGGTTATCTTATTTCCTTGCTGCCTTTCTCTTATTTACCCAGTATATGTGCTCAATAAACACTGACTGAATTATTGAATACAAAATGAAGTAGGTGAATTACTTAGTCTAAATCAATTTGCAAAGAGCTTGCAGGTATTTGGGAGATATAAGCTTTAATATGTAATAGATTCGGTATGTAGGGATCTTTCTGAAAGACATGATTGAAGTTTTTGAAAGGTCTAAAGAAATCAAGAATGTTAAGGTAATGAAGGAAAAGCATATAGAAATAGATAAAACATTAAAATGGTGACATTGGCAATGATTGCATAGTACATCAAATACAATCACACTATTTAGTGATGATCAGAGAGAAGGAACAGATAATAAATCATATTTAAAATTTTAAAACTTGTTTTTTTTTCAAGAGAATTAAATTTTTAAATAGGCTATGCTGAATCTAGAGAATAATCTTTTTGAAAACCATAAAAAAAGTCTACTCCTTTGAGAATGAAATCCTCACTCATGAAACATTATAAATATATTTATATTTAATATATATTTATTACAAATAAATATAAAGAGCTTAGGTATAATTTGATATTCCTTTTGTTATATCAAATAATACAGAATATATAAAAGAATAAGATAGAAATAATTTTTTCTAAAAATGAGGAATAAATAAATGCATAGAAAGCTTTCGTGTTCTTATAATTCATAATTCTGAGCCATCTCCACTTCAGGAATGCCATGTTCCTAGATGACTGCCGTGCAAGTTTTTTATTAAAATTAGAATCATAAACCTTTTCTTGCAATTAAAAAATAAAGTGTGCATAGAAAAATGTCTGGAAGCATGTAAGGCAAAAGTCAATACTACTTCTGGGTGATGGGATGTATGGGACTGTAATTTTATCTTTGTATGTTTCTATATATTTCAAATGTTCCAAAGTATACAAACATGTAGTTAAGAAAACCTACTTGACTTATAAACAATGCAGGAGCTTCAGTGCAATGCTGGAACTCTCAGATGGGATGCTTTGCTGTCTTCTATGTAGATCTCTTTGCACTCTTTCTGGCTCTTACAACTGTGGGTGCCTGGTGGTTGTTTTTTTTTTTTTAACTCAAAAGAACTTGCAAAAGTAGTGCATTTTTTTTTGCATGTATTCTTCACCCAGCTTACCCTGATAACATCTTCCGTGACCATAAATTTCATCCCATGAAATGTTACTCAAAGCCCAGATATGGAATATAATTTCATAAAAGCTCTATCTCTTTTTATCTAATACCAGCCTTCTCCCTCAAAATAATTTGTACAGCATTTCTCAGAGTTCCTCAGAATGTTTATTAAGTACTGCCAGGGGTGGGGAGGAAGAAACAATTTCAAGGTCAGTTAGGCTGAGGAAATGTCTATGAAGTCAGTTTTTTTACTGCAAAACTTTTCAGAATCTCTACTAATGTGTTGTGAAACTTCAAGAGGAAAATATGTGCAACATTTTCTAAGTTCATTTTCACTTGTGTTTGTGGCTAAGGAGACAGGTTTATCTGAGATAACATTTTAAGAAATATTACAAGCTATTTCTCAGGCATAGAAGAATATAGGAAACAAGAATTCAAGGAGTAACACTGCTGTAAGGCCTTGTCAATTTAATTATTCAGCAGATTTCGTTATCAAACTGAAGCATTCTTGAAGGATTTAGTAAATGTCACAAAACTGCCATCAAATCCAAAATACCCTTCAATATGCACACACACGCGCGCGCGCGCACACACACACACACACACACACACACACACACACATCCCTATCACAAGTTGCAGAGAGAAACTTCCTAACTCCTTTTTTCTATAAACAGCATTTGCCATCTATCAATCGCTGCCTTATTTTGAATCATTCGGCACTTACTCCACAAAGCTGCCCTTTGACTTATCCATTTATTTCCCATATGTGCTGAAAATATATCTCATGATGCTCTTTATAGGTAAGTGGCTTTTCTATTTTTCCCTTTTGTGTTTGTCTTTCCCCTTGTTTTGTGCTGCCATCTTCCTTAATGAAAGACAGAGACCAAGGAAGAAGGTGAACCAGCTCTTGTTAGTAAAGCACCTACAAGTTAAAAAGTTACAAAGCCTTTTGTAGGACATCACAAGATCAAATGTATCACTACTTAACAAAACAGTTATACTAGAAGAAATTATAACTGCCATATTGTATGGAATACAGAAGTTTTAACCATGGACTCAGCTACCTATAAACAAATTCTAGATACCAAATAAGCAGTTAGGGATCTTTCTGGTTTTCCCAGTTATATCTGTTTTGTTGGTTTGACTGTGTTGCTACCATTTCCTAACAGGCAAATGAGAGCAGATGCTAGAGACTGAAGAAAAATGTACCCAACAAAAACTTAGAATTGGGAAAATTTGATCAAGTAACTTCATTTTTTCCCCAGGATATTAGGAAAAAGACTTCCATTATTAAATTTTAGTTTCTTCAGTTCCAATATTCCCAAATCCCAAGATAATGATTACTTCTAGAAGGTAACAACTGCCAGATATAAAAAGCAACACAGAAAATGACAGATGTGAAACTTTAGAAGGGGTGGTAAGAATGACATTAAAGAAGGGGAAAGATTAATTCCTTGCAATAAAAAAAAATAGGATAGAGAAGGTTGCCTACTTCCCTTTCTGCAAGAAAATCTGGACATTTCTTTCAGTGTCCTGGCTTTGAATCTTCCTCGTGTACTTGCTATGAAGGCAGCACTATGAGTAGATTTTAAAGCCATGGTTCTTGGGAGGGCTAGAACAAAGTGGGCTGGGGGCACAATGGACTGTTGGTGCTTTGGTGGAGCATGCTATGGTAACAACACTTATAGTGGGGAGGGATCCTATACTTTTAAAATACAAACAACTGTGTAAATCAACATTACCTCCATTAAAAATTAATACAAAGTAAAAATCAAAATCAACAAGCAACTATAAACCAGAGACACACTATGGGTGGGGGAGGGACGGGGAGAGGAAGGACTAGGGTTAAAATAAGGGGGGGGGTGCAATTGTATGGGGAATATAACCAAAATGAAAATGCATGCATTGTGCAAAAATGAAAAATGATGTAAGAATTATATAAAATAAAATATTAAAAAAGTATATTAAAAATAAATTGGAAGCTATAAAATAAATAAAACCATGGTTCTTTCCAAGATATGGTTAATTAACCTTACTTACTTTTGCCACTTCTTTTTCCATGTTAGGTATGTATTTTACCTACAGTCATCTTTACTCAGAAAGAAGAGACATCCTCAGAATCTTTCCCATTAAAAAGAAAATATGAGGTACTGCAGTTCAATGTGACATTCGAAGAGCCAGGCTTATGGATTCAGCTACAGTAAACGACACAGGAAGGATTCTAGTGGGGAAATATCTAGTAACTTGACGAAATACATCACATGATACAATTATACTCCTCCTCAAAAAACTCTAGACATATCACAGCAGTCTATGTTTCTCACACATTGTATTTCCCAAATACATACGCTATACAACCTGCTTCATCAAAGCCATAGATTTGATACAATTACATTACAATTGTGTGAAGCTTGATTATTTTTCTGTAAGGTTAATAAAAAAATAGCTGGAGTAGATTCAATTAAATTGAGAAACTAAAGTTGTAAATCTAAATTACATCTATTTACATCTATATATTTTCACTTCTGAGTTCCCAAGTAGCTGCGATCCATAGGAGGGGAGTTAATGTGAAATATCTTCTGTAGTTGTCTAGAGTAAAATATAGACAGATATTTTATAGACAGATATCACTGTTTCCAGGCTAACACCCACCTTAAACATTAGAAACACTTGGAAAATTAAAGGTCTAGCCAAACCCTGAAATAGTAGTCTTTAATATTATGCAAATGTTTGGGCTTTAACACCTTAAAAGAGAACCCAGATGAAAGCAGAATAGACCTTTGGTAAACATACAAATAATGCCCCATCTTCATGTGAAAGCTATCAGACCATGGATACATACTTTACTGGGAGATAAAAGATACAAAAGTATAGTAAATCATTTATATATCTATACACACACACACACACACACACATATATATACACACATCAAGGAGATAAAAAAATTAAGAACCAATAATATTATAGATTATTAATATTCTCATTGATACTTGCTAGAAGTTATATGTCATCATTTATAGTCTTGGAAAATGCTCCCTTTTTGAAGATCTCAAATATGTGTGAATAAATGACTAATAGTATCATATCTGCACCAACAGTATATCATCACTTTTGAAAGAATTATAGAATCTTATTAGCCAGTAACTATATAAACAGGGTAATACATATCTTGTGCCTAGTTCTTAACTAGATAATAAAAATGTAATCATAAAAAAGAGAATCTATTTTCACTAGATAAAATGTTTGAAAATAAGTGAATATTAAAGGTATAGCTTTACAAATTAATATATTTGGAATTTTAAAACATTAAAATTATCCTTTCAAAGCTGCATTCTACTCTTTAAGGTTATTTTACTTTTAAATTTAAAAAAAATTACTGAAAGAATAGTTTGAAGAGTAGAATCCCTATGCCTTCATCCCAATAGGATGGTGATCGAAATTGCTAAAATACACACTGAGAATCACTAAAATGAAAAGTATAGAAACCACCCCTTATTAGGTCATTATAAGAAATTAACTTTTCATTGTTAAATAAAAATTTAATTTTTAAAACTAGTTACCTTAAGAATTTTCCTACTTAAAATAGAAGACAAAAAATTCATAATTATGGCAATTTTGAAATAGAGATGAGAATTAATAATAATTTCGGATATCTATAGCAACTAACATAACGAAGATCTGTGATTTCTTAAGGTGAGAGAATCACAGTATTACTGTGGTTGATTGTCTATATTTATAATTGAAAGAAACTTACTTTCATTAGAAATTAATGAGAATGAGGATGCATTTTATTTTCCCACTCAAGTTCACTTTCATAGTGACAGCAAATATGTAATCAGATGTTACCTAAATTGCAACATTGATTTCTTTTGACTGTCTGAAATGTATGTCCACAAAATCTCCATTTCATTTTGTTTAGTATCATCAAAGGTTTAGTTTCTCAACTCTAATTAATATAGATGACATAGGAAGCATCAGCTATTTTGAAAGCATAAGACATAACTTTTAAAATGATCTTTCCCTGGAGTTTCAAATGATTCATGTTCCAGGTAGCCCAAGCTAAGGAGTAGCAAGCAATCTCAGCAGAGCCTCTGCTGGGGACAAATAAGTAAATAAAACTGCAGTGAATAAAACTGCTTTGGAGAATTGAATCAGCATAGGTCTACCCTGAAAGTACAAATAAAATACATATATACACAAGCTCATGCAACAAGTAACATCAACGTCTCTGGGTTTTACCATCATCAAAGTAGCTCAATGAAAAGTAATAACTAACACTTCTTCCAAATATAGCCATTCCGTATTGGTGCATTTTATTTCTGTATGCTTTTCAAGAAACATTCATCCTGTTCTTAGATTTTAATTCAAAAACAGGTTAACCTTAGTAGACATACACACACCTGTGTTCATTCAAGAAACACTTGTTTTATACCTACAGTATGCCAGGCACATTATAAAATGTTTACCAGACTTCCTGCAAACAAGTTTATTACTGAACTGCATCTCAGTGAAGTTCCTAGGAGAAATGTGCTATTTTTCTTTTTAAAATTATACCTTATGTAACCTGTCTTCTGCAAATTGTCACATAAAAGAACATTTTCTTTCAGAAATGGATGATCCAAATGTTTCTCCAGAGAATCTTACATTAAGTTTATGTACAGTTACATTTATTTCTTTTGGTGTTGAAGAACTGGGGTGTCGGCCAGAGATGTGGTGGGTGAGAGTATTCACTAGAAACAGAGCAGGGAGCACAACAGGCAGATCTACTGAAATGCACTGTTGAGGGGAGCAGCAGGCCAGACAGAAGAGCTCTGCTTTGCTATATGTGGGTTAGTTCCCTGGCTAGTACTGCTGAGACTTTATTCCAAGGCCACCAAAGGGCCCCCAATTTTATTTTACTGTGCTAAAGTATTAGTGATTTAAAATTAAAATTAAAAATTATCTCCCTTTTCCCTAACATCCTTTTTGCATTTTTGTTTTGAGAACATTGTTTCTTCTATTTAGATAACTTTTACTTTCTCCAGGGCCTGCTACGTGATATGCCAATTTTGATATGGCCATTTTCCGTAGAGTTGTTTTCAGCAAAATTCCATGGAACAAGAGCCACAGAATTAACAAGTGTGCCTATTTAGCAGGCAGATTCCTGGGCTTCGCTAATGGTCTGTTGAGTCAGCAGCTTTGCTAATGAGCTCAAGAACCTGAATTTTGACAGGCTCCACAAATGAGCCTTATGCACGCTGTGGTTTAAGAACCACTGCTTTTGGGCCTAAAGAATTTCATCTTTGGACAGAAAATGACTAATAAACTATTTATATAAAAACCACCCTATGATTTAGTTTTTTTGTTCATAGAATTGAGATGACATTCATTTTTCCTTGTGTTTAAATACTTTCAAAACATGCCTTCAACATGCTAAATAGGAATTAGTCTATTTTGCTAAGCGTAGCTAGAGTTTTAAATTTCATCTTCCAAAAAATTACAATTTCATATGAAAATCAATTAGTAAAAACATGCCTTCAGTCATCAGATGACTGTGTCTATTGTGTGCTTCCATTGTGATATTCAGCCGAACCACGGCCTCTCGTGAGAGAATGTGGTCTGGGGTTAATACCACTGGGCTGGAGACCCAGCTCTAATGCTTACTGAATGCTGAGTTCAGTTTCTTTAACTGACCAAGGTGGTTGTGAAGAGCAAATCAAGTATGGCAAATTAAACCTTATAAAGGACTATACAAAAGTAGGAAATGTATAAAGTCTTCTGGATGTTTATGCCACATAAGGGTTTATTATTTATATTTTCTGAACAAAAGCACCATAAGGGCAGTAATGTCAGATCTTGTTCACTTTTACCCTAGTACCTTGTATGGTGATGCAGGGTAGACAGTCATAATTGGGCAATTCTGATTTTATGGATTATTACCTATCTTAAACCTATTTTAAGAAATCAGATTAAATTAGATATTATTTCAATTACATTTGGTTAACCTCAAAAGGTATCTCATATTCAGAAGACACATATAGGTTCTTTAAAGAATACATGCAAGTATCTTTTCTGAAAGTTTTATTTGCTCCTAAAATATTTTAATAGCTAAGGAGACCAATTTTTTAATGAAGAAATTTCCATTATCTTTCCAAGTCCCAGTGTAGATGCCATCAGGCTTAAGCCTATGTATGACAGCTACTATTTTTCAATGAAACATACAAAAATGATAGCATTTCTAGTAAATTTTACAATGTATAAAGCATATTTTTGTATCCTTTCCTTTAATTCTCACAACTACTTTGCAAGCTAAATTATTTCTTTCAGTCAAAAAATAAAACCAGTGCCTCCCTGGTGGTGCAGGGGTTAAAGTCTCAGTACTATCAAGCTATCACCAGTCACTGTGGCTTGAGTTTGATCCCTGGCCAGGGCATAGCAGACCCCTCCTGTCTTGCCTGCTGCTCCCCTCAGCAGTGTATTTCAGTAGATCTGCCTGTTCTGGCCCCCATTCTGTCTCTGGTGAAACCTCTCACCCCTCCACACCTCTGGCCTATACCCCAGTCCTTGTATGCATAAAATAAAAAATAAATCCTAACAAAACCAAAGCCATGGAGTCATCATGTCATTTTTAATTCAGTTTCATATCCAATAATGAAGTTGAAATTATTTACAAGTTTCCTATATTTGAGAAAAAACAGAAGATCTTTCTAAATTGCAATTTTGAAGAAGTTTTTAATGTTTATGGAGATTACCTTCATACATAACTTTGTGTGTGATTTAAGAAAGATGAGACTTTGGAGTTTCCGAGATCAGAATGAAGCATGTCCTTCCAGAAACATAAAAACATATGACGTCACCTAAAACCAGAGCAATGGTGATACACATGCATGGACGAGGATGATGCTGTGAGATGTTTTTCCACAGATGTGATGAAGATGTGAACTGTTCCAGTTACATTCTGTGCCATGTTCCATCTGAAATGCTTGCAGCTCTGACTGATTAGGCTGGTTGGTTGGGGTTAGAGATACAAACTGACCACACAGAGACCTAGCCTGTAACTCTGGCTTTAATAAAGGTTTCCATCTCTCTTAACCAAATGGTCTGATTTATTTTCTAAAACAGCAGCTTTTAAACAAACATGTTTACTAAAAATCTAAAGTTATTGCTTACTCTCAAATTGACTAAGTTATTTCAAGATGGTAGTTTAGTTCTTAATGAAGTCTTCCTCCTTATATAATATTATCATTTTTGGTTAAAGTTATTTTTGGGGAGGTTAACTTTGGCATTAACTCTAAAAAATTAACAGCCTTGGTTACTGTAGAGCCATTATGTTAGATATAAAACTCAAAGAAGATTCTAGGCACTTGCATGGCTTCTAACATCTGTTCCAAAGTACACTCTTGAAATTAAGAATCATAGTATTTGGATATTTCTGAGACACAAAACAAGTCTTTAACCCCACACATTAATTTGTTAGTGTATCCCAGCAGGCTATTTGTCTTGGCAACTTGTGATTTTTAAAAACTAACACAAGATGACTTATAAGAAAACATTTCTTTTTGTGTATAGTTGGAACATCTGGTTGAAAAAAGACTTTGTTTCCAGAGAACAAACTGAAGGGACTAACTCTATTCTTACCTGAGGTCATGCAAATTCATAAGAGAAAGGGTATTATTATTTGAGTGACCTGTATCTTAGAATGGTTAGAGTTTAAAGCATTTAGAATTTCAAATTTAGAACCTTACATTCTATTTTAATTTTTTCTACAGCTTTTTTTTTAAAAGATTTATTTATTTATTTATTTATACAAGCACTAGGTACAGTCAGAAGCGCGGGAGGGTGAGAGGATTCACCAGAGCCAGAACGGGGAACAGAACAGGCAGACTGACGAAATACACTGCTGAGGGGAGCAGCAGGCGAGGCAGGAGAGGTCTGAGTGCCATGCGGGACCCTCGCCTGTGGCCGGGAATCGAACTGGTGCTTGCAGAGGCTGCGGACAGCTTCATAGCCCAGCACTCAACCGCTGCACCACCAGGGGAGGCCCAGAATCTTACATTTTAGAATCTTTAGGGGTTTCCATGAATAGCAAAATTGTATTAACCCCTGAGTACTGAAAACAAACAGAGAGGATAGATACATACCTTGCTTGTACCCTCTCGTACTCCTTTTTTATTAAGGGAAAGAATTAGGGACAAAATTTGCATGAGAAGACACTGGGCTGATTTGAAATAAAGCAGTCTGGTTTTAAGTGCATGGAACAGAATCTTTGTTCCTTTCCTTGAGCATTTAGCAAGCTGTCTGCTGACTCAAGGGAAAAGATGCAGAGTAGTTCAATGATCACTTCCTCTTTGCTATTCTTTATTGCCGTTCATGTTTGCGAGCTCGCGCAGGAATCGAAGATCCTTCAACCCATAAAGACTGTGAGCCTTTACACACAACAGCTCCTAAGATTCCCAATTCCAGAGACTTATTAATAAGGCAGGGCTGTGTCAGTTCTCTATGTTAAGCATGAATGAGGTTGACTCCTTGGTGGGCATTTTCATCTTAAAGTTGGTGCTGATGATCCTGATAGAGTAGAAGGAATACTGGGTCTGAGTTCTGAGGCCTTCGTTCTAGGAATAGCTCTGCCACTTTTCTCTATGTTAAAAAAGCAATACCTCTTTACAATATTGCTGGCATCTAACAATAAATATGAGATGAATTTCAACCTCTGATTGGTGGGAAGTATAAGAAAGCATACGTGGTTGGGAAGGAGAGGGAAGCTGGCTTCTACTGTAAATTTTCCACCTTTCTGCTACCTTTGAATTAATTTCCCTCTAGTCCAACCTTTAAGTAAGTTATGTATGATATTCAGTAATGCAAATATATACTACTTTAGAGCTCACCTTCCCATGCCCTTCCTCTGTAAGCATCTCAGCTCTCTATGGAGTTCAGCAAAAGAAAACCTGTGATCTAGGAAGAGAGTGTGAGTTACCTAATGAAACACAAATATTTGAAAATTGGAATCATAAATCAGATATTTGGAAAATAAAACAAGTTATTTTTAACCTAAGTGGTAGGCAAGTGACAACATGAAGGCATATGTTACCTGGGAACACTGAATGCAAAGTACCAGGCACTGCTAGGCATGACACACACAGAGGCACATTATCCAGTGGCACAAATTTTCTCCCCAGTGATCATATATACATATGCATATACATGGCTGGCTAAAGACAATCCTGATTAGTGGCTCTGTGGAGGACAGCTAATTAGCCAACAGATCAAAATTAAAATGTCTGACTCTCCAGCCCTTGAGTAAAATGCAAATCTTCTGGGTATTGTCACATTCACTTACACTTCATTTACTTGTCATTAGATCACTATCAACCTGATTGGAGATTTGTACTTAATAAAAAAGATTGGGCTTCAAGGAGTAATTTGCCTTTTTTTTTTTTTTTGATTGCCCAGCATCTCATCATCTTTCTTAAGGGGGAAACCCAGCTCAACTGGACATATGATCCAGACCTGGTCAATTAGAGGTCCCCAAACCTTAGGACCTGGACAGTTGTTAACGACTCCCAGGTGACCAGGGTGAACCAGCATCCTTCCCATATCTCCTCTGCCATACCTATGAGCAGATACCTTTCCTTCCTTTTGAGGTTGCTGGCAGACACCTTACCAGCTATGGAGACTAACTGCACAAGGTGCAAAGCCTGGTGGCACTGTTTGATTCACAGGGTACAGCTATGCCTGAATTAATCTACTCTTAAACTTCATGGATTGTGAACTCTTTATTTTCAGCTGAATCTATTCTGAATTAGAGTAGATTTCACTTGCATTCAAAAACCCAAAAAAAAATAGAAAATTAAAGCCACCATTAATGAATCTGATTGAACTAATGGTCAAGGTTAATACCATGCTTATTTAAATGTGTAGTGTAGTTTCAGAGTGTTTTTATCCATATGAAAAAGTGTCCAATTCATTAAATTAACTGGTATCTTCTTGGAGACTCTGTGATGCCACTGTTTCCCCTATAGTTTGGTTTTGCTAGTAAAACCTTCCTCATGCCTTACACCAAATAAAAGTCACATGCACAAAATTCATAAGATTATTTTACTAGGATTTAGGTGGGAGGAGATGACATAGTCAAATTTTCAGAAAGAAAATTTTCAGATTGAACTCTAGCCAAATAAGGGGAAATTCAAGTTCTTATTTCAGACTCAACTGGCCCGGATAACAAAACAATGCCACCTTCTCCTGGCACCATATGTCAAGCTGTCAGTTATGTGGCCACCCCTTCATGACCCTTAACTCCCTGTACCATGTCTCAGCGATGCCAGACCCAAATTCTGAAAAAGCTTCATGGTTTTCTTCATCCAGCTGAGAATGCTGCTGGCCACTGCAAAGCTGTTCACCAACCATAGGCTTTGGTCCATACGGCTTTCTTCTTGAACTCTGGGAAGATTCTTAAGGACAGCAGTGTGGCTAAGGGGACAAAAAATAAAGTACACTGTTGCCTTTGATGGAGCTTTCAAAAGGTCATTTAGATCAGAAAGGTGTCAGAATTTGGCTTTCTCTTACTTGATAATCTTCAAATCTGAGAATCCCATCAAACCTTAGGTGGGAGAAAAGGAGGTTTTTTTTTTTTTTGGCTTGCTTTAAATATGACACAATCATCAAACTATCACTATTTGCAGATGATATGATAATATACATAGAGAACCCCAAAAACTCCACAGAAAAACTAATTCAACTCATCAATCAGTTCAGTAAAGTGGCAGGATACAAAATCAACATGCAAAAGTCAGTAGCCTTCCTATACACAAACAATAAATCTGAAGAAGAAGAAATTAAAAAAACCATCCCTTTTATTATCGAAACAAAAAAAATCAAATATTCGGGAATAAATCTAACAAAAGAGGTAAAGGACCTATACAAAGAAAACTATAAAACACTGTTAAAAGAAATAGAAGAAGACACAAAGAAATGGAAAGACATCCCCTGCTCATGGATTGGAAGAATAAACATTATTAAAATGGCCATCCTACCAAAAGCAATATACAGATTCAATGCTATTCCAATCAAAATTTCAATGTCATTCTTCAAAGAAATAGAACAATTATTGATGAAATTCATATGGAATCACAAAAAACCCCGAATAGCCAAAGCTCTCCTGAAAAAAAAAGAAGGGAATGGAGGCATCACACTCCCAGACTTCAAACTATACTACAAAGCCATAATCATCAAAACTGCATGGTATTGGAACAAGAACAGACATACAGACCAATGAAATTGAACAGAAAATCCAGAAATAAACCCACAGATTTATGGTCAACTAATCTTTGACAAAGGAGCAAAGAAAGTTTGTTCAATAAATGGTGCTGGGAAAAGTGGGTTGCTACATGCAAAAAAATGGAGCTTGACCACTACCTCACACCATACACAAAAATCAACTCAAAATGGATTAAAGAACTAGACATAAGACCTGAAACCATAAAATACATAGAAGGAAATATAGGCGAAACACTACATGATATTCACATCAAAGACATCTTTACAGACACATCACCCAAAGCAGTGATAGTGAAGGCAAAGATAAACAGCTGGGACTACATCAAATTAAAGAGCTTCTGCACAGCAAAAGAGACAATAACAAAAACAAAGAGAAACCCCACCGACTGGGAGAACATTTTTGCACACAACACTAATGATAAAGGACTGATCACAAAAATCTGCAAAGAGCTGATGAGACTCAACACAAACAAAGAAAATAATCCAGTCAAAAAATGGGCAGAAGAGCTAAAAAGAAACTTCTCTGGAGAGGAAATGCAAATGGCCAACAGGCATATGAAAAAATGTTCAACATCACTTGTAATCAGGGAAATGCAAATCAAAACTTCCATGAGAAGTTGTGCACCCTTCTGCACATCTTACACCAGTGAGAATGGCACATATTAAAAAAACTAGCAACAACAAATGTTGGCGAGGATGTGGAGAAAAAGGAACTCTCCTGCACTGTTGGTGGGAGTGCAAACTGGTCCAACCACTATGGAGAGCTATGTGGAGATTTCTGGACCTACTAAACATAGAACTTCCATATGATCCAGCAATTCCACTCCTAGGTATTTACC